TGCTGCCTCAAAGGTCCCACTAAGATGAGGGGAGAGGAGCTAAACCTGGGATCCAAACCTGCTGGCATTTCCTCCATGTCTCACTCACAGATATGTTTCATGTGGTTCACAAAAAAATACCAAAAGCTAAAAAACTAACTTTGTGGCTTGTGCTGTTCACTAGAGCTAAGGCCAATTGTCCACAGCTGTCCTCCAGCTGTCCTGCTAGCCCTGGTCTGCGTTCTGTGCCCTGTGACTTGTCACATCACTTTCAAGGGAAAAAGGGTGAGAGAGCCAGAAGCTAACAACTGTCTCAGGGGTTCTGAATCTTTCCCAAAGCTGCAGTGCCCAGCTCTACTACTGTCAGCTCCCTGCTGTTTTCAGTTCTGAGGATTCAACCAAGCCCAGATCAAAAATACTTGTAAAAATAATTGCATCTGGATTGTATACATACAGACTCCTTTTCTTATCCTTATACTCTGAAAAATATACCATAACAACTATTTAGAATATCTACATAGCATTAGGTGTTAAAAGTCGTTTATAGATGATTTAAAGTCTACAGGAGGATATGCATGGATTAAATGCAAATACTGGGTCATTTTCTATAATCTTGAGTATCCATGGATTGCCATATCCTTGGGGGGAGGGCATTGGAACTAATTCCCTGCAGACACCAAGGGGCAGCTGAACATGGATACTCAAGTCCATGAAGAACTCAGAGGTCTACAAATACCACATGAAGAGGTCTTCACCTTAAGTCACCAGAGTGAGGCAGTGTACAATGATGCAAAGTAGAATTTTTTCAGACATTGACTTACATCTCCAAAGATATTTACTTTAAATAAGTGACAGGTACAGTGTATTTATTTTACATATCCTGAGTTTTTCCAGCTTCCAGACCACTCAAGCGTACAGATGATGAAGTAATTGGTAGAATTATTGAGGTTTCTTTGTTTTTCCTGTGACCACTTTGTCCAAGTCAACGGAATATGCCAACAATAGCACAGCTTGCATCACGTTTGTTACTAATATGACTGCCTATTAATCCTGACATGGGAGCTTGGCAGGTTACCCAAAACCCAGTATTTTATCACCTTGGGGGGTTAGCACTTGGACATTTCCACGACATTTTATGCTAATCCATCAACTTTCCTTTTTTAAAGCACAGAGCTTCACAGGAGCCTCAGATCAGCTATGTGATCACCAGACCTAGGGCCACCAATTCCTCAAGCAGATCTGCCATGGGTTTGTTGATAATAACATTTCAAAGAACACTTTTGAAAATGTTTCTTATTTCTTCCCTTCCAAGGGGGAAACCTATCACAAATATTAAGACGGATACTTCAGTCCCTGAGAGTTTTCTCATATTATTGTATATTTAAAAATATTACAAGAGGGCGCTTCTCACGGGAAGTGAACTTTAAGACTGCCAAAGACCTTGACTGTCTCCAAATCTGTTACCAATGGATCCCTAGTTGATTTAAGTCAGTTCTATTCTGAGTTATGACACAGGCAGCTGAGACAAACGCCATCCTAAGATATTTCTGGGACCTCCCCCCCAGCAAATGGTAATTCATCTGGAGACAAGGAAGGCAAAGGAAGGGCACATGCAGAGAATAAGCCTCCTGGGAGCCCACTGCTGTGTAAGAGTCCTAAATAAGCCAGAGGGACCAAGACTCTGGATGAAGTCCCTTCACTTGTCACTGTCATCCCCCGATCCTCTGGTCTCAAATGATCCTTTCAACTGTTCTTTATATAGGCCACCCTAAAAAGGTCACTAAGCTGCAAAAAAGTTTTAATGGAAAACTTTCAGTCCCCCCACCATTTCTGCCTTCCAGACCTAAGGCCTGAGGAAGCCCAGTGTAAACTATGAGCTTCGTGTTTGTCCTCTTCGTGTCATTGACTTTCAGGAAGAAATAGGGCACCTGGATCTCTCAAATCCAGTCTTTTCCTTCCTCCTGTTCTATTCTTTATTTCCCTCTCACTGTCCATACCTAACACAAAGAGCCTTGGTTGTCTAAGGGTAATTAAACAAGACAAAAGTACACTGGCCTTGGAACCAGCTCATCAAAGACATACTATGTAATTCTGGTTAAGTCATTATCCTCTCTCTGCCTCAGATGCCTCATTTGTAAAAGAAAGGATGTCTGCTATACCTGACTCATGGTGCTGCTATGAAGCAAAAAGGAGAAAAGCATTCACAATGTTTGGAAAAATATCCACCTGCTAGGTGTGAACTCAAGCCAGTGTTTTCCAGCATACCCCAGGACCCCACTCCTGAGAAAGGCACAGCATCACCACCCATGGACATGGACCATATGGCCAACTGCCTGGGGGTTAGGTATCATATGGGACATTTTATCTTCTCAGCTCTTAACAGCTAGGCTATACTCATACTTTGTACATAAAGAAGCTGACGCTTAGAGCAGTTAGCACCCTTGCCAAGGCCACCACACTAGTGAGGACAAGAGCAGGGCATGATCCAGGCTTGGCTACAAAGCTCATGCCTTTATCCCATGTCTGGGATAAAGAAATAAATAATAAAAAAAATGAAATAAAAAAATAAATATGGAATCAAGCAGGTAGTGGTCTCAGGAGTCAAGGTAAGGATCTGTGGAACCTTTGAGACTTCCCTGGGAACCAGATGCTATTTTGCTCCAAAGTGCATCACAGGGAAGATAGAGGTGGCCACCCTTATTCCTGGCCATACCCTTTCGTACATTTCCCTCTACCGAGAAGTCAAATGGCAGCTGTAAGATAAACAACAGACTTTAATTTTACTTTTGTCCCTTTGCTTAAGAAGCAGAGCTCCTATCACTAACATCGGGAGTGGAAAGTCCTGGTTTGGGGGGAATAGAGCTCATGTGTTCCTCAGTGTTGCTAGGGCAACTGTGCAGTAGTACACAGAGTTCTACTGGCAGGGAAGAGGTGGCTGGGCAGAACTATGTTTGGGGCAATGCACTGGTTGCTAAGCTGAGCCCTGTACCATGGGAGCCCAAATTGGGAGCCGTGATGGAGGCAAGGCAGGGGCTGGAGAGGAAGAGGACACATTGTATGTCTGACAGATACCTCTCTACTCATGAGAGGAAACTGGAATTTCATGGCTTCCAAAGGTGACTAATCTGAGATGTCACCTATGAACCTAGCCTGATCTTCGAAAACGATGGACAAGCTACATCATGCCTATTACATTTTAAGATCACTGAGGAGTGAATTTTTGTTTCAGTATTTGAGTGCTCATCTCCATGTATTTTCAGTACCAGAGATGACTTAATAATTAGGCTGAAGGTGACATTGGCTGCCACCCTCTGTACTAGATGGGTGCAGAAAGATGCCCTTATGCTTGGGCCAGAGCTTGCCCTTCTTACAGATCAGAAACCACACCAGGTCAATGATTATCATCTTGAAATTATAAGGTCTTATCCCTCATCGCTGCCATCACAATCTGAGGGAGCCCACAGAGAGTGAAGGCTGACCTGGGAGGAAGCAGGGCCAGAGACTTGGCCAGAGATAAAGAGAAGACCTTGTTTCTGACTCTGGATCTGCCTCCACAGGGCTTGGAGACCACACAAGTTACTTCCCTTCTTGGAAACTCAGAGCCCTGCTGCAAGATTGAGCAGTTAGATGCCACAGGGTATTCCCAATGCTTCCTCATAGCTCTGACATTCTCTGTATAGCACTTTGGAGATGGTAAAAGCCCCTGAAATGCTTCAGAAGTCTGAAGAACATCTGGTTGACTCTGGGCTATATAGTTTAGATATCTGCCTTCTCTTTAGTGTTTTGTGTGAGTGAGAGTCTCTAAGATTATGTGTTGGGGGGAGGGTACCCAGGAGGATAAGGACAGAGACCAACATTCAGAGGAAGGGCATGTATCATGAAGAAGAGTGTGACATAGAAAGTGAGGTGATATCAAGCAAACCAGAAGTGGGAAAACTGCCATGTACTTTCTGGACTGTGGACAAACATGGTATGTGGCACATGAAAGCTTCTGGTGAGAATTCCAGTGAGGCTGGTTCTTGGCAGGGTGGCAGGGGGAAGGGAACGCAATCTTGTGCTGTGAGGTGACAGTACAGTGCTAGACATGCAGACCACGAAGATGTCCTTCTCCCAGTGTGGCAGGAGGCCGAATTCATCACTACCCAAAAAAACGTACGAACAAGCATGGGAAGAATGAGAATCCTGGATTCTCAGTGCTGCTTCTGTAACCCACGAGTCCTGTAGACTTGAACAAAAGTGTCACTTCCCTGAGGCTCATGTTCCCCATCACAAGGTCAGCACTTCTCCCATGGTCATCAGGAGGAAAACATTCACAGAGGTAAAGTATGTGAGAATCTTTTGTGAGCGGACAAATAACTAATGTCTTGCCAAATAGTTGAATACTCACTGCTAAGGAAAAAAAATCAATAAGGCAGAATGAGCACTGCATTTGAGTAAAGGCAGGAAATCACCACGTGTATGTCATTATGGTTCTGCCCTTGCAGAGCAGGATTAACACCAAAGAAGTTTCTGGACTCTGTTCATGAGTGAGGTTTTATGGGGCAGTGTGCACATCAGCATTTGCACTTGCTTCCTAAAGAACCAACTTATCCAGGACACCACATAGGAGCTCACACTTCATAAGCAGTGCTAACTTAGGTACCACAGAGACAGTTCACTCCATGTTATGTGTAAGTGGCTGTAATGGTGATAATGGAGAGCTCCTTCCTATGCAATCTGCTGCTGCTTTGTAAAGAACACAACAACATTCATAAATAGCCAACTCAACTATACCATCCTCAAGCAAAAACTTTAGGGATGCAGGATATAGGTGCCTTGACCAAAGCCACATCTATAGTCAACGGAAAAGAGTCAATTCCATAGTCCTTCTTTTTCTGCCACTCTGACATGTCATAATCTCCATTTATTGTGTTTCAATTCTAAGCAGCATTTGCCATCTATCTCTGTATGCATTTCAGAAAATGAATCCACATTCCTCCCTAGAAGTGGCCTCCAATAGGAAATCTAGACCCAGTTCTCACCTGTAAATTTGCACAAGGTGGTAAAACATGTGTGGGGATCTCATTCTCAGACCCCGCTGGCCCCAGGTGCTTGTTCTTGACCCGGAAGGCTGTGGTGGTAGTGGCAGTGGTGGTCTGTACTGGGAAGGCTGGCTGCCACACAGTCACATCGGAGCCATTGCCAAAGGCTTGAATTGCATTTTCTGCAGTAAAACAGGAGGAAATCCAATTTCAAAGTCAAGCAGCAAATGTAATGGACAGGATACACATAGCCAGAGAGGCCTACTAGAAATTCTGATTATAGCACTGGACTTCTCTGAACAAAGCCCATCCATCCATCCAACCTACTCTTGCTGAGAGCTGGTATTTTGGATCAGGTGCTCAAAAATCAATTCAGTCATTAAACACTGAACTGGACACTTAGCTATACTTCAAGTGCAAGAAATACTTATTGTGTTCCTGTTCGTGTGCCAGGTGCTTGCTGAGCAAGATCTTTGTCTTGAAATGCTCATCGCTCAAACATCTTGAAACCCAACCTCAGACTTCTTACTGAGTTCATAATTATGCTATTCTTCCAAGAAAGAAATCTTATGCTCTGTCAAAATTCTATACTAAAAGCAATTAATGAGTGTCTTTTCCTTTTAAATATATCCATAATCATTAGACTGAGATGACTCAGTGGCTTTCACACTGATTTGGCAAGCAAAAATACAGCCGGTTTCTTTAAAAGAAAAATCTACCCCAAACCTGATCAATATCTAGAGAAAATTTAAGTAAGATTATTTTTTCACTTTCTGCTCCCAGTCTTCCAAACAAAATCTGCATAATTAGATAGGAACAGCCCTGTTTAAATGAAAAGTTGAAAATGTGAAACTTTAAAAGCTTATTACAATTTCATGGGATTAGATTGTTTTTATGGCAGGAGTAAATAGGTTGTATGTTGTTCCCACCCCAAAATGAATAAAAAACAGTTTTTAATCAGGTCTTTGGGGATTTGGCCTGGATTTGGGAATTTTTTATTTCATATTTATTGTATAAGAACTCAAACTCCTTCATTTAGGACCTGAATGTGCAAATTGTTAATATACAACTCTGAGTTAGCATTTTTTTCAATATACAACACAGAATAATTTAGGTCTAATCTTCCCCGTAGAAGTGACATTTTGTTCTAAAATTGTTATCCTTTGAGTTTAGCAAATTAGAAGCTTGTTTTCTATAACTTTAAATTTTTGGGGTCTGTAAGAAAGAGCTCCTAATTAATACAAATGCTTTTGTATGCTCCTTGCCACGCTACATGGCTTAACTGGTGGGTGAAATACTTAGAAAGGAGAGCCTAAAGACCAGTTTCCTTAAATGATCTCAGAACAAGAACAATAAAACACCCTCTTTTTCTTGCCCATGTTGGGTATGGAGATACATTCCTATAATCCCAGCACTCAGGAGGCAGAGGAAGGAGGATCACAAGTTTGAGGCCAGCCTGGGGCTACATATTGAGCTCCAGACCAGTCTGATAGTGAGACTTTGTTTCCAAAACAAATAAAAATAAAAAAGATGCAGATTCAAGAGACTGTGATCATTTATTGAAACTACCTGTGTTTTCCCCAGTGTATTTGCCTTGCCTCTGTGAGTTCAGTTGTTTACTTATTCATTCATTTATTCAAACATTAATGGAATAGCTACTAAGTGCCAGGCACTGCTCTGTGTGTTAAGCACATAGAAGCAGACAAAAACAACAACAAAAGACAATAGTCTCTCCTCAACCAGAACTTCCCGCTAGAGAGGCAAGGAAGAAAATCTACAATACATCCATGGTGAGAAATGATTGGAGAAAAATTAAGCAAAGGGGTGTGAGGAGCCCTGGGGTGGGCAGAAGAAGTTGATGGTTAGATAAAAGTGTTTTGGGGAGGCTTTGAAGAGGAAGAGACATTTGAATAAAGACTTTTGAATGATGCAACTGATACTTCACCCACCACCACCCCATTCTTCTCTCTTCTCTGTACATCTATCTGCCATGCACTTGGCTTAAGAATAACTGTAACCCATCCCCATACTAGAAGTAAACACTCGGTTGCAATTGTGTTCATGGTAGGGGAATCTGGAAGATGTTTCGCTTAATCTAAAATAGTAGAATTGGGTTTCAGCATATGGATTAGAGTTTTAAAAATTCAGATTTCTTCTAGATTAGGACTTTTTACAAGAGAATGAATTTGCAGGCCTGTGTCTTTGGTGTTCTGTGTGCCACTGAATCCAAGTACACATGGAATGACTGAAAATTTCTGGCTGGCTTTGGCCCTTGTTGCAGATCAAGTGCATTTATTTTGATCGAAAAGTCATTAGCAATAAGATACCAGACTATTCTTCCCTTAGCCAAAATGTTATTAAGCAGGGGCAACTTTAATTCTTCTGTGAGGGAAAAGTTGTCCGGCCAGTGTGAGTAAAATCTTTTCTCATGCTGACTTTATTGTCATTGCTTTATCTTTGCAAAAACTTGCATTCGAACGGCAGAGTGCAAGATATGAAAAGGAAGTCAAGACAAAACAAGAAGTCCAAGTTGCAATTTCTTGGCACATCTCAGGTCTTAGCAAATGCCCTCATACTTAAGACTAATTTTGTGGGTTTGAATTTCACTTAAGAATCCAAAAGCTTTGTTTTATTTTTAAAAGGACCAAAAGCAAGGGATTTCAGCCACATTATTTTGAAGCATGTGGTGAGCAAATGACTTAGGTTTTGCTTTTCAACAAAAGAAAGTGTTTTAGCGCAACACTCAAAAGCTGTCTTGTGTGTACTTGGTAAATTGTCAGCTAATTCTTCAAATATCAGTCAACATGCAACAGAATATCGTGGAGAGATTGTTGCTTAAGAATGAGGCTCTGAGGGGGTTAGCTGACTCTTGATTCCTAGAAATTGGTCCACCCCTATCACCAGTAAGTCAGACCTGGTCCCCTAATGTTTGGGACTATGTTTGCATCCAAAAGGTCTTTCAATATCAGACATGAACAAGGCCCTCAGGGGATGGGGTGGCACAAGGATCCAGGCTTTGGATGCTAACTCTGCCACTTATGGTCTGTGGGAATACAGGCCTTTTACTCTGCTGAAGAATGGATATAATGATTACTGTATCTCATATAATTCTTGAGCAGAGTGCAGAAAATAAGATCATGTGTGTATTTTACTCCTTATAGGCTGTATTATATTCCTTACAGAAGGCCATCCACAAACGGTGGATGAAAGAGTGAGTGAAATTTTCAGATATCTCAGTTGGATTGTCACCCAGAGTTTGCTGTATGTGAGGGAGACTTGGCATTCTGCTTATGGAGTTTGTCTGATAGACAACCATTGTTCACATCTGTACATTTCTTTCTATTCCTGTCCCTTTGGCAAACGTGGTTCCAAATTGCCTAAAAGACACTGCAGTAATAACTAGCTCTGTTTGAAGCAGGACTCCCCCAGCCCCAAGCATTTATCTCATCTCCTGAGATAACACACATCCTGAGTCTCCTGGCTCTATCACCAGCTTCCCCCACTCAAGATTTGTTGCTTCTACTCTGAGCCAACGATGAAAATCCAAGGGGCTATTGATGTGAACATTCTCATTTTTCCCGGAGAGTCCTCAGAGGCCTATCCCCATCTAATTTGTCTGAGTTTCTCACATTGTGTATTCTGAACAGGTTTTCAGAAGCTTTGGAACGGACTTTCCACTGGCTGCCAAGATCAAAATTTGATCTGCGGGTAGAAGTGTTCTTTCCCACATAATGTACCCTTGGTTATTTGAATCTCCTGCTTTAGATTCACAGTCTTGACAGCACTCAGTCCATCACTCATGCGGTTCCCTGCTGCATCCCTCAATGTGACCAAAAGAAGCTGGAGTCATCACCAGCAATCAGGAAAAGGGATAGAGAGAAAGAGAGAGAGAGAGAGAGACAGACAGACAGACAGACATATAAAATAAAGAGGCACAGCTTCAGCCAGCTCAGAGAGGAACACACATGTGTGTGTGGCTCTTATTTTTTTTTTTTTAAAAACTCACTAAGACAAGTATTGTCCTTGAAGAAATTCAGAAATTTCAAGCACTCTTCCAAGTCATTGCCACTGTTAATGCAGTCACACCAAGGGGCCACGCTGAGGCTGTTGGAGTCTATGTAGTTGGGGGTCATGACTGTGCCTAAAAGAGGAAAAACAAGACAAGGCATTTCACTCTCGTGTGATGTAGCCTAAAAAGAAACAAATGTTCCTTTGATAGTGGATGCACTGTGGATAATTACAAACGCTGTGTTTGCCAAGTGGGAAATTATGTTAAGCAGTGCATTTTCTTGGCAATTTATCTTAAGCACATAAAATAATTTACGCATTTACTTTAAAAATTATAACAGAACTCCTTGAGCTTCATTTAGGGTATTTTCTTCCTGCACAAATGGTATGGATGTCATGGAGTAGGAGCAAATTAACTTAGAATGCATGAGTTGCCAAATCCCTTACGTTTTTCTTGAAAATGTCATTAATCTTCATAAATAGATAGCACTGGGTGTACATATCTTTAAAATTCTTTTAGTGCTTGAAATCCACTTCCCTCAGAAGCAAATGGCTTCTTCAGAGTAATGCAGGGAAATTTAGAAGCCTCCATTGTGCTCCCCCCACATCCTCGATGCATAGAAATGTCTGTAACAAGGCTCCTGATTGCCAGACTCTCAAATGATTTAAATAAAGTCTTCGAAGTTATGAAAGAATTGGAAACAAACAGTGGAAATTCTCTGAGCCAAGGCCTTCTGAAGCATTGTCTATGGACCCTCAATAGTCCTCAAACAGATGCTGGGTGGTCCTGCTTCCATCTTGTGGTATTCCTGGGTTTTCTGGTGAGTTCTTGATTAGCACAAATACATAATACACTTATACTTAATACAACCCAAACATCTTCTCCCGGGTGGCTCACACCAGGCAATGCCCACTGATGCTAAGGAACCTTCTGTTGCTAGATATTTCTGTGCATCTAAGAAGTAATAGGCAGTCAGTAATCCCCAGGATGTATTTTGTTCACAAAAAGAAAAATCATATTTTATACACTTCTCTGGGTCAAGAGCATATTATCTTCATCTTGCTTTCCTTATTGAGGTGCACTGAATAATATCCCATTTTACTCTGGCATGAGAATTTTAGCCTGCAGCATAGAGGGAGCTCTAAGGCAGTTGAGAACTGAGTGAGGAAGTGAAAGCCTTTGCATTCTTGGTATCATATAAGATCCTTGATGTATGGAAGAAGCAAGAACACACTTTGTGCAAAAAAGAAGTTGTGATGCAATGACCCAGAAACCAGTGTTGAAGGAGAGATTCAGACTCAAAGAAGAAATAAATTTTGGTCTGCAGAATACATTGCCTCTACTATTCACTCCCTCTGTTCACTGTCCTCAAGCATGTCAGATTTGCCAAGCCTAGAAATGATCTCATACAAGTGTTGGCTATACTCACCTTGGCCTCTCATGAAGGAGTCAATGAGCGTGCACCCTTGGAAAAGACACAGACTGAAGTGCTAATAGTGATCACATCTGGGAGTGCGGCTTGACATTGACTTCTGGAAGCTTCTCTGGTTTTACTTTTCCTCTAATTTTTTAAACAATGAGGATGTAGTAACTAATTACTTTTGTTATTTCTGTAATTCCATATTTGATTAGCAATCCCCCATAAAAATGAACTTTGTTAGGAAAAGTAGAGTCTGAATGCAAATCTGGAGTACTGACATAAGGAAAGTGCACTCATTGGACAGATCAATAAAAATGGCATGGAATGAGGGAAATGATTATGGTATTTTAAAGGCAATTCCCATGAGAGCACAGGTGTCATTTTAAAAAGTGAAGAATGATGAGTGTTCCAAGAACCAGAAATACCCTTACAGTAAATACCATTAGTGATTTTCCCAAAGATTCCTGCTGAGGACACTCAGATGACAAAGAGTTAAGTCTGTGCTGTCATTATGGGTGGGAGGTTCTTCCTGTGGGTGATGCATGTGACCCTGACACAGACACCCTGCAGGAACACACACCCTCACTGAGCCATCGTGCTTTGACAACTGTGATTTCCCTCACCCTTCCACAGTCTTCAAGGCATGTTCCTTTTCAAATGCCAATTGTCATGGAGCCCTGACACTGAGGCTTCTGCTGTCCCTGGTACCTGGGACATCTGCGATTCCTCCTGCCAGCCCTGTTTATCCTCGGGCACAAGTTTGCCTCTTTCTGGCTCTCTGCCATCCCACTGGTGCCTTGTTTAATTGCACTATTCTCTTGAATGCTGAGAACATGGTTCTCTTAATGCCTGAGGTCTTGGAAGACAGAAAATCACGTTTCTGCTACCAAACAATATTTTCAGGGAGAAACATCAGCCTAAACGATCCCTAGTACGTCGGGAGTTGAGTTACCAAGAATGCTAATGACAAGAAGGACCCCAGTATTTAGGGGTTTTATTTCCAAAGGGCTCTTTCTGGGAAACAGCTTCTTTGATTTCCCCAGACGGCATGTGACTTCCAAGTTCCTTCTCTCAAAAGTTTCCTAATTTAATTAACTTTGTCTGACTTGCTTTCTTCTTCCATATCAGGCTTTTTTCCTGCTTTTGTTCTGCGCAGTTTCCCAACTGAGCCGCTTCACTTGCCTTTGCATTTGCAGTCTTCTCCTGCCTTAATAACCCCAGCTTCCTGTCTTTCCTTTCCTGAATCCATTATTCTTCTTTCTTTCTTTTCTTTTTTTTTTTTAAATAGGTGAGTCCTAAAGGAACTATTGTCAAAAAACAGCACAGAGGCTACTGGGAGATTGTTGCTTGTGTAGACATTGTGCTATGATAGAGAGTGGGTATTTGTAAATCACTTCCATCCGTGTTTCCACATCTTACCAATCAGCCCTGAGTAGGCCAGGAGGCAGTCTGCGTAGTTCTCCTTTAGGCAGCTGCTGACAGACCTTGACTCTGGCTGGCAGTTGGTAAAAAAATCTGCAAGGCGAGATCTACGATAGAAAGAGAGGGAAAAGGTGCTTAAATCATCCTATGCCCTGAGCTGGAGGTGGAGTGGTTAACAGGCACAGGGGTGCAGCTGGATGCGAGGAATAACTCCCAATGCTGTACAGCATGGTAGGGTAACTGGCTGACAACAATTAATTGTATATTTTAAAATAGCTGGCAGAGAGGATTCAAGATGTTTCCAGCACAAAGAAATGATACATGTTTGAGATTATGGATATGCCAATTAACCTGATCTGATCATTATACATTGTAACATGCATTAAAATACCACACTGCATCCTATCCAGCACATCCTATATCAATGATAAATATAAAATACATACTAAGAGGAAAAAATCCTAAGTCTCTGGACAGACATAACTTTTTTTATTCCTTTTTTGTTATGCCTCTTTACACACACACACACACACACATGCACAAAGAGAAAACATGAACTATTAAATGGTGGCATCCTTCATACAACCTCCCAACTGTTCCCCCACCACACCTAGCCCTCATCCACCTGTGTCTGTCTGCTTATTTGGAGAGAAATCTTCAGGGCCTATAACTGGAGAAATCTAGAGGCTTTGAAGTTTCCATTCAATATTTATTTCTGACGAGACTTATTTGCATCTTTAGGAAATCTGCTTCTCCACATACTCACCGGAGATCCACAGTGGGAAAATATTTACTTTATACAGAAGCATGTTCCTGGCATCAAAATAGGATCCTACAGCCCATCTGCTCCCATAATTCCTCCTGGCTTGAAGAATGTGTGTCTGTTTCATAAGTCCTCTCTCATTTATCAGGGTAGTGATTGCTCCCAGCCTAGTGGCACTTGAGGAAAAGAAGTGAAAGGCTAGAGGGACAGGTAAGGCTCTATGTGGATACAATTGGCCTGTGGTTGGAGACTATGTTTGGAGGGGTGTCCTGATCAAAGTGATGCTCTGTCTGCATTCTGGGCATTCTCCAGGGGCAACACAATCCACCTAGAAGCCTTGGTTGGTAGTGAAGTTGTAGAGATTCAGATGTGGAGAGAAGCCAGGGACTACAGACTTACTAGTGTGGGGAGAAAGAGGGCTCTCTGTGGCCAGCTGGCTACTTCTCAATCTGAAGAGGATTGTTGGAGAAATCCTGAATGAGAACTGTGTGACCTCTGAGGTCATGTCAGCAGACAACAGCTCTGTTTCTACACGAGAACACAATGGACTTCGGGAGAATTTAAATTATCCATCAATCACGAGACAATGGAAGGTTGTCTCCGTTTTCTGTCTTTTGCTCACCCCAGTCAGCTGCTGACATACCCAGTGCTGTTTTCACTTCTTTCCACCCAAGAAGCTTCATTTGCTTAGCATACTTTTAGACACCAACAGTTGTGGGTTGGTGGGGCTGAGCAGGGCAGGGTGTGTGAGGTTCACAAAGGTTTGTAAGACCTATTGGAAGCACGGGCTTTCTTAAAATTTTAACTAGAAGGGGAACCACAAGGGGTCCATCAATAAATGGCTGAAGTTCAAGTTCGCTGCATGGATTGCGCCGTGTTTGTGTGGTTCTCTCCCTGAACCTGAGCAACCTGGAATGCCTGTGACTCCCTGTCTGTGCCCATCTGGGGAGCTCTATATGTTCTGGGGTATGTTCTGCGTGCCTGGCCCAGTACAGTGAGTCTGCAGGCCTGGTGCTGGAGGTCTGTTTTATTTTCTCTGTACAGCACCTGGCACTCCTCAGAGAGTCCCTTTGTAACACCTCCTAAGCAGGGCCATGTGCTGAAGCCAGTGGCTTGACAAAACCTCTCCTTGAGATGGTGTGAGCTTGTGTATGTACCTGGCTCTCAACCACCATCCAGGCTTTGCTGGTGTTTTCAGTGAACACACTGAAGGATACAAAACCTGGCTATTTTCTGTAGCCTGGTGAAAGGATTTATTTTTGGAGGAAATCCCTAAAGGTGGCTCAAGCTTACTCAACTGGCTCTGATGATATCCAGCTTGGATTGAGTGTTAATTTCAGAAGAATTTTCCTGGTCATGAAAGTTAATGTTACAGAAGTGCTGAGCTTCCAACTTTGCAAAAGCCAACTGTGGTCCAGGCAGCTGGGGCTCTAGCTCTACTGCAACCTGGCCACTGAGCAGTCCTCTGACCTGGCAGCCCCCCCATGCCCTGCCTGTTCCCCAGAGACCTGTCTCCTATTTCTCAGAGTCTCTCAAGCACACTATTAACTGAACAACACTGTGCTGTGGATTACTGTCCTTCATTGCGAGGCTAATGCCACCAGACTCATTTTGCTTAACAACCTCAGAATTGACTCACAATTGGACTCTGGAATGAAAGGCTAATTGAGTCAGTCTGTTGCAGAAAGAATGGTCCTGACTGGGAGGATAGAATAAAACGCACTACATGAGCAGAACCCCGGACGGCTGCATTTTGAGAGGAGATCATGGGCACCGATCCCAGCCCTAAGATGAGCACATTAGCGCATGCAAAGAGAGTTGCAAAATAAGTAGGCACAAAGCACTGTTACAGCACTCACTCTTCTGTGGTCCTGTCTCATTTGGTCTGCCTCCCCCTGGTATTTATACTTAGAGACAGGGTGGTCACACTGTGGCATTCCCATTTTGCAGAGAAAAAACGGAAGTAAGAAGTTTATACAGTGGCTGTCAGGTACAATGGCTCATGCCTATAAGTCCCAGCTAGTCAGGAGGCAGAGATCAGGAGGATCACAGTTCAAGGACATCCAAAAGTTAGTGAGACCCTATCTTAATGAATCAGTAAACCAGGCCTGGTGGGCTCAGCTATGTACAAGTCTGTAAGTAGGAATATCAAGGTCTAAGCTGGCCCTAGGCAAAAAACTAACCTGCAGCACAAAGGGTTGGGGGCATGGCTCAAGTGACAGGCCCTGAGTTCAACGTCCCTACCCCCAAGAAGAAGTTTATACAGTGGTGTGCTGGAGCCAGCTCATTACTGCCTGGGGGATCAATTTTGAGAATTGGTTGACATCACAGTGGTAGACTGAAGGCCTCACGGTGGACATATTTAAACTATGGTGATCAGCAAGTGCTACAAAGCAGGGTTTGTGTTATTCTTGGAGAACAAGTTGTTGAATTTTAACAGGTACAACCCTATGAAAGAACTATTATGAGATAGTCGACCCCATTGATAAAGCATGTGTTGTATCTTGGGAATCCATCACCAGCCCTTCTGGCACAGGCTTCCTCTCCAATTCTCATGGTGCCAGATGAAATGGTGTGATACCAGTTAACTTCCAGAAGAGAAAAGAATCTCCCTCTAAGGGCTCTTCCTTTACAATATCGTCTCTTCCTGTCACAGTCCCCTAAGACCTGTTGCAGTACTGTGTACATATCCATAAAGCATCTAGACTGTCATCTGTCCCAGTGATGTGTCCGGTGCTTGTGATGTAATGATGAAAAAGATCCTGTCCTTAAACTTAAATAACCTACAGTCTAGATGCCAACAGAAACAAGTAAAATGATTATAACAATACAGTGGCTAGTTCATAAAAATAAGACCAAACAAATGAAGAATTTGGTAGATGTTAGTTAGACTTTACTACATATTATTTCCTGACAGCTCTAATGAGGTAGATACTATAATTTTATCCTAATTTTATAGCCTGGGAAACCAAGTCATTGTAAGGATAGACTACAGGAAAATAGTGAATAGGACTCTTTCTGACTCCACCACTTATCCTTTTAACACATACCTACAGAAGCCAGTTTCAGAAAGGCAATGCTTTGGGGACTGAGACAGGCAGGGCGGGGAGGCTCTGAAGGCAAAGGTATAGGACAGGATCACAGGCAGAAGAAAGCAGTATATGACAAAGTTATTGTGCCTATAATAACCCCAAAGTCACAATTATGGGGTGTTTGTAGCATGTGCCAGGCAGGGATTTAAGTGCTCGACATGTATTCACAAAAGCAATCCTCATTATACAGATGAGGAAACTGAGGCTCAGAGAGAATAAGCAGCTTCCTCCAGGTTGTAGAGCTCTATGGGGAACTGGAACGTGGTGCCATTTCATCCCACTCCAGAGCCAGAGATGTCTCTAAACCACTACACTTGCCAGGAGAATTGCTAGTCATTCACCCCGGACACACTGCCACAAGACACAAGTAGGGACTGATGAGAATGGCGCGTGAACTCTCGAGAGCCTTGAATAAACTGAGTTTGGATTTTGTCTCCAAGACTCTGCCTGTAAACCAAGAGGCAACACGATCAGATTTGCATGTTAGAAGACTCTTAGCTCTCTCAGCTGTTCAGCAAAGATTTGCTTAGGACCTATTCTGTGCCCACACTGCTTGAACAGCACAGGAAACAGCGAAAGGTGGACAGATGGTTTCCTAGCAGCCTGCAGCTGGAAATCAGAACAAAGCATTAGGGGCTAGAAGAGGTGGAAGGACGGAGGGCATGTCAAATGGGTGGGTATCTCTAGAGTGGAAGTCAAGATACAGAAAGGAGCTGGCAGATTGCAAGAAGGATCTTGAGTGTGGGCAACTCAGCCCAAAGCGGTGCTGTAGTGGGAAACACAGGGGAGGTTACATTTACGAGGAAGGTAGTGGCTATGTTGAGTGCATGGTAGCCTAGGGAGCCAAGTCCGGAAGGTTGTTAAAGCTGAGACTCTCATATCTGCCAGTCAACAACCACTCCCTGAGCACCTACTGTATACACAACTACAGCAGCCCAGGACCATGTTCTGCACACACTTCCACTGCCCCCTGGGTTATGAATCATGCTGAAATTGGTTTCAATGGCGTCCCTGCCTGGGCTGCTGTGACCCCAACAAGGAAGCTTAAATGTCCAGTATGGGATTATCAAAGAAACTCCACAATTGGATTTCTTCTGGAGACATGAAATCTCCATGACTACAGCAGTGATGAGCTCTGATTGTTTTTCTCTGAGAAAATGAAAAGGAAATGAATAGGCACTAATGTAGAAATGTATTGCCCTCAGTAAGAGAAAATCTCCCAGCCTTGGAGGAAAAGGCTGGCAAATGCCGA